TATTTTTTATTACTAATATTAATACGAATTTATGGCTAGTACATAATAATATAATATTTTCCAATTATGCCTTGCACAATTTGAAATGATTTATTTTCTTATTTATTATACAATATTGTAAGTATTATTAATGCCCATCCTTTTTAAGAAAACATTAGGGATGGGCAGTAATGGCACAGTAACCTGTCCCTTTTTCACCCGTCCTTTTCAAGATTTCCCCAATGAATAATAGAAAAGGACGGGGGACGGGTTGCTGTGCCTTGACCCGCGCCACGCCCGTCCCTCATAATTGCCCGTCCTTTTTTAATTATTTTGAAAAACACCGTACCATTGCCCGTCCTTTTCTAGTATTAAAGGGCCAAACGTGAAAAGGACGGGGGACGGGTTCAAGCCACACCTGCCCGTCCCCCGTCCTTTTCCAGCATCCCAGTGAACGTCAATCATCATCATCAGTTTTTCAGAAGATGAGAATAAAAAAATTGCAATTACAAGTATATTTTTTTAAAAGCCCAATGCAAATTGAATGAACAAAGATTGAAATACCAGAAGAATTGATTAAAAGGCATGAATCTACTTTTAGGTTATTGATTGATCATAAAAAAATAATGTCAAAGAACAATGTTCAAGACAAAAATTATTAAAAGTTCAATAACTTATTAATTTTAATGAGCAATGTAAATATTATAATTATATTGCAATGAAGACGGGAATTTAAAATGTGATAATATTGGAAATGCAAATTTGGCTTTTTCCAAAGCAAGTGCTGGAATTTTCAGCAAGAATTATCGGCAAAACCATATCAATAAAAATAAAAATTAAATCAATAATTACAGTAGAAAATATATGACTCAGAAATCTTCTAGATTATATTGAGTTCTTGTAAATTTATTTTGAAAATTTGGCTAAAGTTATAACATTTGGTGCATCTTTTATTAATAATAATTTTTAGCACGATTTATATATTCTTTTGCATAAAACTGCTTCTATAAATAAATACACTAATCATACCTTTAATTCCCATAATTGTTCATAAAAATCTTTAAAAATAATTTCTTCTTTTAAATTAAAAAAATATTTAATTATCATTTTATTAATTTATAAATAATTTACAAGTATTGGGACTTGTTGAATTAGGCTTATTATATACTATGAATTAATGCCATACAATGTAGATGTTGCCTTATTGAGTTATATATCAATAATTATCACAATTCCATTTGGCGGACTTGTGTAACATTGAGTTGTCCCATATTAATATTAATAATATGATTGATTAAACATATATTCCAAAGCACAATATAATGGTAGAATAAATATTAATATTTAATTGGAGACACCATCTATGGAAATCAGTGTTGTCAGCAGATACTGACATGGATATACTGCTGCCCATACTCAAATCCTTAAAATCCCATCCAATCCAATCCCATATCCCATGTCTCATTAATAGAATTAACAAAATGTATTGTAATTATTAATAAAAATATTGTCATTTATAAAAATATCATAAAAAGCAAAGAGAAATAAAAAGAAGCACCTTTTTAAGATTTGAAATTGTTTCTACTTTTCAACAAATTTTTTTATTTATTAATATCAAATAATAATATAATTTAACAACAGCCACATAACAATTCTTTCTTGATTGTACACACCATTTACCATATATCTATTTTTTTTAGAAAAGAAAAAATTAATTAATACAATGTTGTATAGTAGTATATTGATATTAATAAATTTAATTATAATAAATAAATATATTCATACTCCCAATTAATGTACTTTAAATAATTGGTGATTTAATTAAATTTATTTTAAATCTAATTATATGATACAAACATTATTTTAAATCAACTGTTATATTATCTTAATATAATAATAGTAAAATTAATAACACTAAAGCAAATATACAATAATTATAATGATGATAAATTATAATTTACTAAATTACAATGATTCAAAGATTTTAATAGGTAGTAAATCAATTTAGTTGTATCTCACTTTTACTCTCCATTCTTTTGCGCTTAATCCATAATGTGAATTTGGCTTTGTTTTCACCTAAAGATTTACAATTAAAATGGGACGTAAAAACTGATTCTGGCTATTCTTATATTATGTCGATCTTTCCCATTTATCAAATTATTTAATGGTGTGACGAAAATCTGATTGGTTAATATGGAATATGGGATTTTTACTGATCTCAAAGCCCGACCCATACTCCATAGTGTGGGCGGCAAGTATAGACACGGACGTGGACTGTCCGTGTCCGTGTCCGTGTTCGCCACTTTAAATGTCCCTGACAAAAAAATGAAAATTTTGCTTGTGAATAATGCGAGGATAGCTTTTTGGTCATACTCAATTATTGGTCGAGTTTCAAACCAGCCTTTTAGCATTAATCGCAGTTTTTATATTCAATGATCGTCAATTAATTTATCCTACTGCCTCTTTCTTGTATCTAGAAAGTTTTGGCGAATCTTTAAGCACACTTTATGATACAATTAAGAACAAATTACAATGAATAAAGACGGCTCTTCTACGAAGCAACAAAGGCTCCTATAGAGTTCCTTTTTCGTTTGCCGATTGAAGCCGCACGTTTGCAACAATTACTTTAACGAAATAATCAATATGTGATAACGTATTTTGTCAATAACTGTTAGCTTTTTGTATAGATGGTCAATCAGTAATAACTGTTAATATTAACACTTAATACTTTTGCCAATCAGTCTTAACAAACACTTACATTTACACTTAGACAATTAAACCCGTTTGCAAAAAATTAAACAAAAACGTTTAGGCTTAACAAAAACCAAAAATGTTTTCTTTACTAAAGCAAAATATCCAAACAAAACCTTCAAAGCAAGTAACCAAACGAGAAATCAAACCCTAATGTTTAATTCAGGCCACAAAAGTTCTTTATTGATTAATTTGTTTTATTAAATTATGAAAATATTTACTACAAAACGAATTATTTGTAAAAAAAATAATTTATATTAATTACTCTAAGCAAGGCTCTGAATTATTAATATGGAATTGTTTAGTTTTTAATTACCTGGTTGATTGATAATTAAAAAGTGACACTTGTTCCCAATTTAAATTAGGATATTTCGTGAATTATTTGAAACCATTTTTTCTTCTCCTAATTTTTTAACATATGCTCTACAAAAGGTTTGATTTATTTTAATATTGATTTTAATAATATGTTGCATTAACTTGTGGCTTGTGCTGCTAGTCCCGGGCATATGGACATTTAAGTAAATGAGCGGATACGTTCGTATGACAAATTGTTACGCGGACATTTTTGTACAGTGTTCGTGTCCAGGCGGACATGTCCCGTGTACAACACTGATGGGAGCGGATGATAATAATAAAGATGATGAAAGATGCCTGAGATCTAATTGCAAAATATTAAGATTTGGTTATATTAATTATGTTTTAGAAAAATTAGAATACTAGTGACAGGATTTCAAATGTATATACAGGGTGAAATGAGGATTCCCTGTATTTGGATAGACTAATGTACTCAGTTAAAGAACCGCAAAACCTATATTGGGATAAAGTGGCACAGCATTTTGAATAATAATCATTGCATCAAGCCTGACCTGATTAGTTATTGTTGAATCTGGATCATTAAATTTAACTCGGTATCTTCTTGTGCATTTTCCAAAACGATTGAATTAGAAGTAATATCAACTATATAATTATCATGTGCATTGAATGAAATTGTTCTATTTGATTCATGGCAGGCTTCAATCATAACTTTTGTTAATTCAAAATTTTCTGTAAAATTTGAATTATAGTTGCATATTGATTTACCTACCACTATATGGTTGCAAATATAAACAAAAATTTGCCGTATATTAATCTTTACTCTGACTCTTAAACTAGATTTTTTTTTATTACTATTGGACAAATTTTAATTAATGAAATGTGCAAAACAATTTAGACACCGAATATAATGGCGTCGGTTTATCTTCCAATTAGAAATTTTCGGAAAATACACTCCAATCGTTTTGCGTGACAAATGCAAGACTTGTTGTTATACCAACCAACACAATTTTTTGAAATTTTTTTTTTAAAGTTTAAAAAATCCTATAATTATTAAATATAAACAAAATATTTAAATTAAAAATTTTCTCAAGATTAGCAACAATTACCACTAGTTAGTGATCGGATCTAAAGGAAAGACACACATCAACCTTTTTTTTTTAACTAAATAAATTATATTTGCTTTCAAGCAAAGCCTTTGAATCTTTTGCATCTGTGCCCCTTGCTTATGGACGAGAACAAGGTTCAACCTCTACATGTTACAGGAATACTTTTATACCGCATACAACGTCATATTGAATTTTTATTATTAAACGACACCTTTTCTAACAAAAGACATTGGACTGCA